GAATACAGCCTGACACCTCCAGGATTTCAGGAGGGAGGATGGGGAAGGGTGTCCAGAGGCTTGGCTGCCCGGATGACACGGTGATGGGCATCCCCCAGGCCATGCCCTTGCATCACCCAAGCAGTGATATCACCGGGGCTGCTGGAGCAGAAATCCCAAGTTGGGCAACCCTGGAAAGGGCTGAAGGGCAGCGATTACCCCCTGCTTTTTGCTCCAGGATGTCCCAGTGGCCTCTAACAGCGGGATACTGATTTCATGGTGTAAAGAGCAGGGCTGGAGGATGGGAAATTCCAGAGCACTGGGAAGTCAGGGACCCCAAATATTGTTCCTTAAATCAGGGGGATTTATCAGAGGGACCTTCAGATGATCCCATGCGTGGCACTGCCTGCAGAGACTCCCACTTACCACCACCAGTGGGATACTGGTTTCATACTGGGTGCAAGAAGCAGGGCTGGAGGATGGAAAATTCCAGGGGATTAGGAGTTCAGGAACCCTAAACATCACCCCTAAATGAGGCAGGTTTATCAGAGGCACCCCCAGATGATGTCCCCTCACTAACATGTAATACCAGTGTGATACTTTCATACCGAGAGCCAGAAGCAGGGCTGGAGCCTGGGACAGGGACCCTAGAGATTGTTCCCTAATCGAAGGGGGTTTATATGGGACACCCTCAGGTGATATCAGACACTGGGCCTCCCACTAACACCAGCAGTGGATACTGGTTTCATACTGGGTGCAAGGAGCAGGGCTGGAGGGGAAAGGCACTCTGGGGGTTCAGGGACCCCAAACATCAACTTCTAAATAAGGGGGGTTTATCAGAGGGACCCCCAGATGATGACCCCCACTACCACTGGGATACTGATTTTACACTGGGAGCAAGGAGCAAGATTGAAGGTAGTGAAATTCCAGGGGATTGGGGGTTCAGGGACCCTAAACATCACTCCTAAATGAGGTAGCTTTATAAGAGGCACCCCCCAGACGATGCCAGCCAGGGCACGAGCTGCAGAGCCCCCCACTAACACACCACTGGGATATTGGTTTCATACTGGCTGCTCCCCCAGGAGACAGGGCAGCTCTTCCAGCTCCACGGAGCAGCAGAGTTGGAAAAATAAACTACAACCCCCCTCAAACTGAGGGGTACAGACTCCCAAGGCAGGGGACAGGGTGGAGATGGGATGCAGAGAAGAGCAGGAAAAGGAAAAACTGGTTATCAAAATACTTTATTTCAGGGAGATCCCTCAAAAAAAAAAAAAAAAAAAAAAAAAAAAAAAAGGGGGGGGGGAAATCAAAGGAAGAAGGACCCTCCTGTTAGACAGACATGCCCACAACACCTGCAGGGCTCCTGGGAAATCAACTGAACCAATCCGCTGCTCCAAAGAAAGGACAGGTCATTCCCGAGGGGATTGAGGCAAGAATATATATATATTTGTTCCTGGGGGAGGAGGGGGTGTTGCCAGCAGTTCACAGCAGTTTTCGGCTCTCTCGGCACACAGGAACTAGAACTGCATTGCTGAAGACACTCAACACACAGCAGGGCTAACTAGGAGAATACAACTCGAGGCTAGCAAAGAGGGGAGGGGAGAGAGGAGAAGTGGGAGCATCCCACGGGGCTGGAGTCCTCTGTGCAGAATTTACACGGCCCCGGAGCCACTGGCCCTCACGGAGCCGGAGCGAGTCGTCCCGGGAGTCTCGGCTGACAGAACTTCCTTAATTTTTTTGTTTTGTGTGGGTTTTTTAAAAAGAATCGCAGCCAAAATGAAGACAGAACTGCAAAATCCCAAAGTGGCCGCTTTTTCCACTATTTATAAAAACATCAACAGTCACTACAGGGCATGGCCCACTATACTTTTCCCGGGATTTTGGCCCGCTTGCGAGCGATGGCGTCTTCCACCGCCTTGAGCTGCTTCAGGAGCTCCTCCCGCCGTGACAGGGTGCTGGACTTGCCCCCCTTGACGGTTGCAGGACCCGGTTCGGATGCCTTGCCTGGGACACTTGTGACTTTGCTGGAGCTCTTGGATTGAGGGGAGAGCTGGCGTTTCCTGGGAGAGAGAGAAGGGAGAGGTAGGTGAGAGGCACTGGAAAAACCTCAAAGACATCTACCCTGGTGGGATCATTAAGGATGGAAAAGACATCATCAAGTCCAAGTTTCAACTGGATCCCACCATGCCCACTAAACCATATGGAATCATGGAATGGCTTGGGTGAGAAGGGATCTAAAATTTCATCCAGTCCTACCCCCTGCCATGGGCAAGGACACCTTCCACTAGTCCAGGTTCCTCCAAGCCCTGTCCAACTTGGCCTCGGACACTTCCAGGGATGGGGCAGTTCCAGCTTCTCTGGGCAACCTATGCCAGGGCCTCCCCACCCTCACAGGGAAGTTTCTCCCTAATTTCTGATCTAAACTAATCTATCAGGAAGTGTCACACCTAACACATCACTCCAAGAGCTGGTGGGAGAAAACGAGAGGCTTTGGGTTAAAACCTGAAATAGTAAAAAAATCAGCTGTTCCAGGGAGATTCCCAGAATAAACTCGGCACCATGGGCTGTGCTATCTCTTGGGTGCAGTGAGCAGCTCAAGGGAGTGGCAGAGAGACAAAGAGGGGTGAGCAGCCCTGGAGCAGCCCCACAATCCCAAATCCTGACAGCCCCTTCCCTGTGATGCCACTGGGCCTTGTGGTGCCCTGGAGAAACCAAGTGTGTCTGTAACCCCCTCCTATCCCCCAGATTGGCATAGGGCACATCAAACCCACCATGTGCCACTGCCAACTTAGAGAGCAGCAGGATTAGAGGGTCAGGAATCATTGATGTGATACCAGCACTGGGCTGGAATGGCTGAGGTTCCTGTCACTGCTGGAAAACAGGACCTGAGGGCCTGAGGCAGGACAGGGCTGTGGCAGCAGGGTGAGGTTTTGGTTTGGAAAGACTCTGAGACATGGAAATTGAGGCTCGTTCGTGGCCCAAGCTGGGAGAAGGGAAGGGATGGCACAAGTGCAGCCAGCCAAGGAACACTGGGATGTGTTTGCTTCCAGAGATCCTTGGAGAGATGACACCGGAGAAATGCAAAGCAGCATTGTCTGGCTACAGGCCTGAGAGAACCCCAGGTGTACCACAGGTGCTCCACAACCTTCAGCCCCTGAAGCCACCTGTCCAGTCCTGCAATGGGATACTCCCAGTACAGCAGTGGACACAGCCTGCCAGAAATTTGGACGTGAGCTGGTCACCTGTCACCTCAGGGGACGGCAAAGCGCAAAGCCAGGGCTGTCAGGGGACACGTTTTAATGTGTCACAGTAGCAAGGTGAGCCAGGCTGGGAAAAATGGGAATCAGGCACTGGAGCCAGGTGCCAGAAGGAGCTGGGCAGCAGCGGGTGAAGGGGTTGTACTCTCTTGCTCATTAACACTGTGCTAAACGAGGCACTGACGGGGCTCACACCTGACCCACTTGGCTCCTCTTGCTGGGACTGACCTCAAGAAAACCCCTGGGCTCCAGCTCGTCTCCGAGTTGGAATGGCTCAGCTTTGCACGGAGCCTTGAGCACCTCTGGCACCTGCCCAGGGAGCTCCGCGTCCTTCCTCCTGCTGTGCTCCATGGCAACTGGGAACTGCAGTCCTAGAGCCTTGGAGCTGCCCTGGGAAAGTGTGAGCCCAGCCTGGCCCACAGGGAGCCCGGAGAACAAGCAGCACTCACCTGTCTGCCTGTGCAGGGGAAGGTTTTGGGTTCTGGCCCCTCTGTCGCTCCTGTTTGGGGGATGAAAGTCTCCCAGTCGCCTTCCTGTCGCGAGAGCCTGTTGGGAGAGGAAAAGAAAGAGGAAGATATTCCTGCTTGTCACCAAGGGACAGTTCACTTCTCTACCTGCTGAACCCCCCAGCAGTGTATCAGTGCTCTCTTGAAACCAGATCATGCCAAAAAAAGGCCCAGTCCAGCAGCAGCCAGGAAAAGAACCTCCTGCAGTGTTCCCCCCACTACAGGGGGAGCAGAGAAACCAGTGAGGGCTGTGCCCCACCGTCCCCTGTACACATCATCAGCTGTAGGGAGGGCACCGGCCTCTCCTCATCCTCCAGCTGCTGGAATAAGGCATTTTTTCTTGCAAACCTGTTGGCTCTGCACTGGCAAGGTCACAGGGTGTACTGGCTCAAAGAGTGACAGGTGAGGGCAGTTCTGCTGCTTTTGGAGCCAACAGGACCATCCTTCAGGCAACATCACCCCCATGTTTGTTCACAGGCTGAGCTGTGATGCCCTGCCTGGAACTGTCATGGGGGCTCAGGGATGAGGGGAAGCTCACTGGGGTCCTGGAAAGGTGCTCAGTCCCTCCTGGCAGCAGCACCTCTGTGTGCCAGGGCATCCCTCTGCTCCTGAGGATGGACACTGTGACAGGCCAGGCTCTGGATACCACAGATCCAGGTGAGACAGACTCAGGGTACCACCATTGACCAGTCTGGTGCTGGAACACCGAGAGGCTCAGTCCCAAGTCAGCCAAGGATACCTTTGCCACTGGGATTTGAGGCTTCAGGGCTTGGACTCCCATCACTGAAAGTGTTCCAGGCCAGGGTGGACGGGGCTCAGAGCAACTTGGTCTACTGGAAGGTGTCCCTGCCCATGGAGGGGGGGTGGAATGAGATGAGCTTTAAGGTCTCTTCCAACCCTAACCATTCCATGATTCTGTGATTTGCTACAGCTTAAAAATTGCTTTATAAGACCAAGACAAGAAATAGTACAGAATTACATCTATGTTTATATCTGTAAAATATGCTGGGTTGGCCCATTCACTCCTCTGCAACTCAGCAGCCTGTGAACTAGATCCCAGTGAACTTCAACCTCACCCAGTCCTGTCCATGCTGCCTCTGCAGGAGTCAAATGCAACCAGGTTATTAGCACACAAATTCTTGCTGGCTGGGACCCAGAGTCAACAAGATCCACCTACAGCTGAGCCACCAGGGAAAACAACATCACGTGGCAGCGCTGGCTCCGACGTCACAACCAGCCACCTCTGGCTGCCAACTCCCCCCACCCCCTGTGCTTTCTGGCAGCGACAGCACAGGCTGGAGTGTGGCATTGACTTCCCTCTCTTCGGATCACCAGCTCGGTTCTCCGAGGTGTTACAGCCTCTGGTGAGGACTCAAGGCCTGGGAGAACACTTGGAAAGCCCAAGTCTTTCTAAACATCCAGGGCAGAGTGGATTGTGTCACACACAAGTGGGGAAATCATCTAATTTCACAGGATGGGTGATGCAGGCAGTTATTGCATCCATCCATTCTGGGGCCTTGGCAGCCCGCACTCCCTTTCTAAGCACCGCCACAAGCCTGTCTGTCAGGGTAAGATTCACTGGGATGCACTGGAATCCAAGGTAGAGAAAACTCCAGGATGCAGTAAAGGAAACTCCTATGACTTAGAATCATGGAATGGTTAAGGCTGGAAAAGACCTTTAAGATCATCAACCCAGCACCACCATGTCCACCACTAACCATGTCCTCAGGTGCCACATCCACACGGTTTTTGAACACTTTTTCAGGGATGGGGCCTCCACCACAAAATGTTCCCTAGTACCCAATCTAAACCTCTCCTGACTTTGACAGCCACATCCAAGGACACCAGCAGCGAGCAGGAGGCTGTGGAGGGATGGATATGGAGGTGAGTGCTCTGTGTCTTTAAAGCAAGGGGGTTATTTTTTTGGAAAGGACTTACATGGACACAATGGAGCCACAATGGGCACAATGTGCCCAATGGACAGTGTGGTAAGGCCAGGTTTGGTCTGACCTCACCCACGCCAGGGCCCCCCTCCGCCATGTTTTTGCAGCAGGATGGGCAATACAGCCCCAGTATCTGGTGGCAATCACACACTCCGAAGTTTTGGAAGGACACATGACTGTAATTAATCTTTCTGGTTATTGGATTCTCGGAGCAGAGGCTTTCACAGGACATTTGTCACCCAAGCACTGCCTGGAGCAGGAACCTGGAGCAGGAACCCAGACAGACCAGGAGCCCAGGGATGGCTGATGTCTCACCTCTGTCAGGGGACAGGTTGGCCCGTTTGGCTGGAGGGGAGGTTGGCCTGTCCTTGTCTGCTGGCTCGTATCTCTTCCTACTTCCTTTGTCAGCTGCCTGAAATGGAATTAGAACAGACAATGGAGCTGAGCAGCCACTTCCCTCCAAGGAACCATCATCTCCCTGCGATGGTACCTGGCTCATGCAACCACCTCTCCCATTAAATTCTTTCCACACACCAGTCCCAAACTCCCCTGGATCGTGTCATTCCCAACCACCAGAAGGCAACGCCAACATCCTCTTGCACTGGGGGTTAACGCTGCGCTATTTTCAGAATAGAAACAGGAAAACAGCAGCTTTTTGGGATGTTTTTTTTTTCCAGCAGCACCAAGGATAGCAGATGTTAAGGAGGCATGTGGAGCCCTGCCTTTTCCAGGCTCTGAGGGTGCTGGCAGTCATGTGTCACTGCACACTCCTCCCTACGGAGCAGCTTCCTGGCCATGATAAAGCCGCCTCACGTCAGAGCACAGGGAAGTAGAAAAATCTGCAGCCTCAGACTGTGCTGGGGAATTTGGGCTGTCAGAGCAAAATATTAACGCTTCAAAAACAGGAACCTGCCCACGTGAGCAGGGCCAACACCCTGCCCCGGCACAAAACCCCACGAGGCCAAACTCTCCCACATGATGTGGATTGCGATCACTGCTGGAGGCTCCCAACTGGGGCAGCGGGATCAGTGGGAAAGGGGGAAGAGCCAAGTGGGCACACTTTTACCTCCTGACTCGAGTGAATGACTCGTCAGCAGCTCGCTCCAGTGGGAGGAGAGCGTGCTCGGAAGCGTGCCGGGAGTATGCTCCCAGTGGGAAAGGCCCCGGCACATGTGGGACTCTGGCTGCAGCCTTCGAGCAAGCGGGAAGAGCCCTTGAAGCTGCAGCAGGAATGTGCCCCAGGGAAGCCGCCAACACAGTCGCAAACTGAAGCCACCACAGGGTGTGTTGCTGCCAGACTGGTTCTGTCTGCCGTCCTCCAATCCAGTTCCAGATCTTCCTGGCTGAGCTCATCCTGCCAGCATGGAGCCTGGAGCTCCCCTTCCACCCGTATCCATCCCACCCATTGCTGGGATCCCTGTGAGGAGGGAATCTCAGACATCCACTCCCCTTACCTTGTTCAGGAGGGTCAGTTTGATCTCCTTGTGCCCACTGAAGCCGCCCTGCTGCGACTGGGGGGCCGAGGGCTGCTGGCTCTGGAGCAGCTGCTGGGATTTGCTGCCCTGGGTGGGCTTGGCTGATTTCAGGAGCTGAGTAGGCACATCCCGTTTCCGCTTCTCCTCTTTAGCACTGTCTTCTTTTTTTGACTTTCCTGTTGAAACCAGAGAGCAGATGTGGTGACTTAGGACTGAATCCTTTGGAAGGCAGGGCAAGAGGACGCTGCTCCAGGGACTGGAAAAGCCCACATCAGTTTACACAGCACGTGGCCCCGGGGTCAAAGGATTCAGGAAACCAGAATTTCCAAAGAGAGGAATATAAAACACAAAGAACAAAAGGCTTTTGCCACCAACTCTGCTACGGTCTAAAAACAACAAAGAAAGAGTAACATGATACTGGAGTTGTCCGGATTTTCATCACCTTCCAAAGGTGAAAGAGAATAAGAGAGGAAGAACTCTCAGGGAGGTAAAGGCATGAGACAGCCACAGGCACAGGGATGGAAGGATGTGAACGTAAATTTGCTCCATGGCCTCACCCTGCCCAGGTGACACCTCTGGGCTCCCCTGGTCTGTGCTCAACGATTTTCCTGGAGCCCACAGTATTCCCAAGTAAGTTATATAGGATCATTGCTCTTCCCTTCTTTTCCCAGGACTCCATAGAGGAAAAACACTAAAGCAGGTACCTCTACCTTTCTTCTGCTGGGCTGGGGTGGGGGATCGGGAGCTGGCCGAGGACACGGGGCTGGCCAGGTCCGCGTACATGTCCTCGGAGTCGGCGCTGCGCACAGAGCTGCTGCTGGACGAGGCACTGGACACTGAGGAGACACTGCTCACGCTCAGGGACCTGCAAAGAAACAACAGCTCAAGAAAGCAACAACAATCAGGCAGTGGTGAGACCTTTTTCCATTCCCCTGGCTGGATGTCAGGAAGCTCAAAGGCAGGCAACGACCAGGAACAAAGGCCGTGTGTCCTGGGGTGCCGATGATATGAAAATTCCCAAACACGTAAGATGTACACCTAGAAAGTAATTAAGGCAACATGTAAACAAGTCACTGTTTGCCCAGAAAAACAAGGAGTGAAAGCAGGGTGTGCTGTCACAGGTCAGTGTTATGGCTCAGGGCAAGGGTTCCCTGGCAGGGTTTCTGGTGTTGGCAAACATTTACTGTCACGACAGGTAATGACAGGGAGGATGCCTCCAAGATGGTCATCTCCTAATAGTGTCTATCCCTGGAAGTGTTCAAGGTCAGGATGGACAGGGTTGGAGCAACCTGGTCTAGTGCAAGGGGGGGTTGGACTAGATGAGCTTTAAGGTCCCTTCCACCCCTAACCACTCCAGACATACGTTAACTCCATGAATATTCAGGCAGCCTCTCCAGCCTGTTCCACAGGCCACACCAACCTGCCCTGCCAGCAAGATCCAGGCTCCCTGGCTGGAGGCTGGATTGGGATAACTGAACAGGCTGTGGCAGCTTCAGCACAGACAAACCCTGCTACAAACTGCAGAGTCTGTACCTGCTGGCATCATAGAATCATAGAATATTCTGAGTGGGAAGGGACCCACACGGATCATCAAGTCCAACTCCCATCCCTGCACAGGACACTCCAACAATCCCACTGTCCCAGAGTGTTGTCCAAATGCTGCCTGAGCTCTGGCAGCCTTGGGGCTGTGACCACTGCCCTGGGGAGCCTGTTCAGTGCCCAACCAGCCTCTGGGGGAAGAATCTTTTCCTGATATCCGACCTAAACATGATAGAGCTGAGCTCTGAGAGGTCACATGGATTGTTGCAACGGTGTCAGGATGAGCCAGAAACTCCTTGTCCAGGCTACAGGATGTCACAGCAAAGTTGGTTTGGGCACACACCGTATTTCCTCCGTTTTCCCCTTCCCCACACCCCTGGAGGAGTAGCACCCACAGCCCCAGAGCCACACAAGCAACTCCTGTGTTCATTTTTCCCACCCGTGCCCAGCTCTCTGAGGCTCTTGCATCACCCCTGAGCTGATGAATGTGACAAGCATGTGGTAAACAAGTTTGGATTTCTGTAAAATAACGCGGATGTTGAAGCTTGGAGTTCCACAGAGTTCAGGGATGTGAACTAGAGCTGCTCAGAGCCAAATCCTGCCTAATCCACTAGTTTTGCACTACAGGTCTACCCTTAAATCTGTGTCCCAGGGAAGTGCTGTGTTTCAAGGCTCTGCCTGTGAGCTTTCAAGGACTCTTGTGTGTGAACAGATGCAAAAGCCTGAATGAATGACTCGAAAGAGGTTTATTTTATGACTCTTTGCTGGAGGGAGTTTGGTGTTTACACATCCCACAGACTAACAGCCTTAGAACTGTTCACTTGGGGCTAAACACAAAGGGAACTGGCTGTGCAACTTTGCCAGCAAAAGAAAAATATCATTAGCTGGGCCTTTCAGGGATTTTCTGACCTACTTCTTCTGACAGGCCAAGCATCTTCCCTAAGGACATGCAAGAACCAGAGGTAGGAGAGCTTTGGGAGAGGAAAGCTCTGTAGCCTGAAACTGTTCACTTGTAAAGCAATTAGGATGTGGTTATAAGATCTTTTGGTAGCAATTTAGGCTAAATGGGCAGTTGGGCACATGTGACAAGCTAATTTCCATGAATAAACCACAAGGAAAATATCATAGAATCATGGAATGGTTTGGGTTAGAAGGGACCTGAATGATCACCTAGTTCCATCTCCCTGCCATGGGCAGGGACACCTTCCACTAGACCAGGTTGCTCCAAGCCCCGTCCAAGGCCTCCCCACCCTCACAAGCAAGGATTCCTTTCCAATATCCCATCTAAACCTCCCCTCCTTCAGCTTAAGGCTATTCCCCTTCATCCTATCACTCCATGCCCTTGTGAAAAGTCCCTCTCCAACACTGTACTCTTGTCACAATTCAGTACTTGGGATCTGTAACACAAACCCAACTTTATCCCACCTCCCAGTCACCTGTAGCCTCTGCTCCTGGAAGCTACAGAGAGTTTTTGCTGCAAAAAACCACAACAGTGAGGAACAGTCACAATCTCTCCTACTTAAATAACAGTAATGAAGGGTCACGGATACCTGGATTTCCTGGACCCAGATGGGGAGTGGGAGACTGAGGCAGAGGATGATCTGGAATGAGATCTGGAGAGAGACCGAGACAAGGACCTGGATCGGGAGCTGGAGCCACTGTAGCTGCTGGCACTGCCACTGATGCTGCCACTGATGGTCCTCCTGCAAGACAGCAAGTGACACCATCACACAAGAGTAACTGTAAGGAAAAGGAGAGAGAGAGGGGGAAAACCCCACGAGAAACAAGTGATGCACAACAGAGTTGCTCACCACCCTCTGATCAATGCCCTGAGCAGTGACTGGCCTCTTCCAGCCACCTCCCCCAGTTTATACACTGGGAATGATGTTCTGTGGTGTGGAATATCCCCATGGCCAGTTTGGGTCAGCTGTCCTGGCCGTGCTCCCTCCCTCCTGAACATGGGAAACTCAGAAGTCCTTGACTTAGGGTGAGCTACTGAGCAACAACCAAAACATCCATGTTATCAACATTATTCTCATCCTAAATCCAAAACACACCAGACACCAAAAAGAAAATTCACTCTATCCCAGGACAGCTTCCTACAAACTAGAATTGCTAACTGTGTAATGCAGTGGGATATCTCGTATTTCAGGCTGTACAAATAACCCTACACTTTTTTGGGACTAGAATAACAGTCCCAAAAAAAATAGAGTTGTTCTGTCATTTGGAGAGTGTAGGACAGTGGGTATAAGCATGAAAAAAACCACCCTGAAAATCCAAGACTGGAATAAAGGG